CAATGATCACTAGAAAGCAAAACAAATGCAAAGTTTACAAAGGGAGTGTGGAGAAGGCAGGTCCCCGAATAAAGAAGTTGGCAGGGGCTCAAATGCCTGGCTTTATGAGGAAAGTGGAACACACACACAGTTAATGCACATGCTGGTTTGAATACCAGAGCTCAAACAAATACATTTGTTGCACATTAAAAAGTAAAATGTGAATTACTCATTGATTAGGTTGTATTTGAAAAAAAATGTGATTAAATGTGCAGTAAATGGAGGATATCTTTGCTTTGTATTACTGCTAGATTTTGTAAAGGCAAGAACTGAAGCATAGCATCAGTCTGGGAGGAGGCAGGAGCAGGGGGGATATTGCCTCTAGTGATAAAAAGCTGGCATTCATGGATAAGGGGAAAAAATATCCAGATATTAAAGAAAATAACAAGAAATGTATTCTTTCATTGAAGGCATGGGGAAAAAGAGAGTAAAAGAAAAAAAAAATAAAAAAGGAGAGCTAGCTGAGTCAGGATTCGGGGTGGTCCAATAAAATGCCTGCTGTGATGTAGCCACCTGCTCCTATGAGGCAAACTAAAGCACACCCGTACTAGTGCTTATTGGCTGTGCCTAGTGCTCATCCCTGCTGGAAGCTGCATTGCTGAGTGATGGTCCCTGGTGGAAGCAGTTCTGAGACCACCGAGCAGGAGGGTTACAGAGTAGTGCCTTCTTCAGCATTACAGAAAAATCTCTGCTTTTTGAAGTCAAAGGAACTTCTTCCCTTGATGTGATGTCAGGCAAGATTTGCCTGCAGTCATGATCACAGTAGCAGCTGCTGAATTGAACAAAATGTCAAACAGATCAGTAAATAATTATATTAAAATTCTAGGAATACTTAACTGAACAATGGACTAAAGGAAATGTTTGTGAAAAATATGTATCATAAGACAACTCCACCTGATGTTAATCAGCACAGAGTAGTTAAGGATGTGCTAGGGAAAGCCAGATTTTTTTCTGTGGCTAGCGCAAAGAGCTGCTGAGTGTGTATAATGAAAGAAGTTAGACAATAATTATTCAAGATGAACTGAAAAGCTGTCAGTGTAATTCAGTTTCACTTGCTCTAGAAGAACTTCTAGAGGGAGATAGATATGCTTATATGTACTTATTCAAATTGTCTCACATGTTTTTAGGGAGAAATTTCATTTTTGGAAGTATGAACTGATTGTTAAGGTTAGAGGCAAAGAAGCATCTGAAGCATTTTTGCTGTGTTGGAGAGCTGTGTACACAAAGGGAGTGTGGATGTGCACATTAACTTTTAATAAGCTTGAAATCATTGACATGCAAACAGCTCTTATTCCACCAGAGCCTGTACTTGCATTAGAGGCATATTAGGCTGTGGTACAATCATGAGATATCTCTGTTGAGCTAAGTGATACCATATTCCCCCATATATCACAAGAATTTACTTCATGCGAGGCCATGGCTAAGAGGCCAGAATTGTTCAGCAGATCACCCCAAGAGTGCTGAGTCCCAGGCAAAAAATGTTGATGTGTGATAGTGGATTATGACCTGTGTTTGACTCTTAACTGTTTGTGATTGTAAAGATACAGAAGAAGACTGCATCTAGGACTCCCTGACTTCCTCCATAATTTAACTCCCCTGGGAAGCACTGGAAGGACAGCAAGGGTTCAGCTTCAGCTCCATTCATACTGCAAGTCAGGCAGACTGGAAGAAATGGAGCAAACAGTAATTTATATCTTTTGTTTGTATCAAATATTGTGAGAGAAGTTATTCCTACTACAGCTCCAATCTGGCTCTCCCGAGAAGTGCTAGAAATCTTTAACCAATCTGTTGCAGAGTTGTCAACACCGGCTTCTCATTGCATTTGATAACCCAACAGGAGTAAAAAACATTAGCAGCTCAGATTACTAATTGAAAGTCAGTCTTCTCTAAACCCCTTCCTGGGACTGACCTGGCCATCAGCCTAGTGAACTCTGGATTGTCATTCCCTCTGGATCCCAAAACTATTTTGGCACCTTTCCCTCCACCAGAATTTGGTTACACTTTTCCTCTGTCACCCTGACCAGCTCTTGTACGGCTCACATGCTGTCCTTAATCTCTGCTTTGAGATTAATGGGCCATGATCTGGTAGAGTCCTGTGGAAAAGAGGCAGCATTTTGGGGCATGGAGCATCCTCCTGCAGGCATGATGGCAGGCCTGGGATGTTCTGTGTGTTCCTGAGCACCTGCCTGAGCGTCTCCGCCTCCTGCCACCATGCTCGCAAACCAGAGAACCCAGCTAAGTAATTCTTGAAGCAATTGTTGAACTGACAACTAAAAGCCTGATAATTGGTTAACAAGCTCTGCTTTTATATTCACCCACCAAACCTTGGGGCAAGAGGTGTCAAGTTAGCTGTACCTTACAGCAAATCCCAGAACAAACCTGGCAAAAAAGGCTGAATAGGGAGTTCAAAGAGAGGCTGAAATGTGAGCTGTCATGAGAGTTAACAGATGTGCCTGTACAAGCCCAGTTATCCTTTATCACCACTGTTTTCTGCAAGAGATCCTTTGGTTTTTATTGTGTTATTTGTGTTGTTCATGCTAGCACATATAATCCAATTCAATGATAACACATGCTGCATATAGTTTCTAAATTTGTTTCTTGTTTTGCTGCAATTAAAATATACAGGACTTCGAAAAAGTTAAGGAAGTATCTTAGTATATACCCCAGTATAGGACTGTGACCCTTAGTTACACAATTATAATTCAGATAACTGTGAACACAGACCACTAGGAAAGATCACAATTAGATTCAGGTGGTGTTCAAATGATACAAAACATTTCAAATAATTTGAAAACTAGCAGTATTGGAATGATTCTATTTCCATGCCTTTAAGGTATAAGGAACTATGACTATGACTGAAATTAATGTGGAAATTCATGTTTAAGGTAAAACCTAAGCATAAAAGAAACTATGACTATCATTGAAATTCATGTTAAAATCATGTTTAAGGTAAAACCTAAGCATAATTTAATCATGTCAAATCTAAACTCTAAATCTGAACATTCAGCACAGGAATAAAACCAAAAAAAAAAAGCATTTCTCTCATGTGTTTTTTTTCTTCCACAGATCTCTCCTTTATGCAACATCAGCTTCAAAAGACTATGACTGATCCACTCAGCCAGGTGTCAAGAAGCTAAGTATACATGTAGTGGCAGGAAAAAAAGACAACCTCTTATGGCAGTATGTTCCAGGAGTTTTGGCTGCTGTTCTGCTGAGATGGGCTGAGCGGACATTGCAATGCAGCTGGTCAAAGCACAGGCAAAACATCTGGAAAAGACACTTTTGGAGGGGTGGGGTAATACTGCTGGAAGCCCTGGTATGCCAGAATTTGCCAGCAATTTTGTTGCAGATCTTGACCCAGATCTGTGGGAACCTTGAAATAATGAATGCAAACAACTGGCTTGTGGGTTGAGTTGAGAGAATTCAAACAACTTACAGTTTGACATGAAAAATAACTTAAGTATTTCTTTAAGAATGGGTACTTTATTATGTATAATTTCTTGCCTAAAAATGCTGTATGCTGTATTCCAGAATAACAAATACCATTACTTTTTGAAAGGGATGAATTAACCTAGGATGAAGCTTGGCCCCATGCTGACAATATGTGTACATTTGGCCTGTTGGCAGGTCTCTAGAACAGAATGTGCAGGGAGAAAAGTACTCAACACTGAGAAGGGAATGACTGTAATTCACTTGTAGATGGAAAAGAATATACATATGGCTCAAAAATAACATGTAAATGCAGACTTAAGACTTATAGAGGAAGAGTTTAGGAAAACATGTGACAACCTTAAGTATAATTCAATCTCAGGAGGCATTAATGAATGGCATAGAAGCCTGTAGCAAATTTAAATGCTGGCCACAGTAACTTCAGACTGTTTGGAAACTATTTTAATTTTTTTTTTTTTTAAAAAAAGCTTTTCAGGCAGGTATTTTAAAGCTTTAAGCACATAATTTAAACCAGAAATTACATCCCTAACTGTCCCAGATAATTTTCTTCTCAACAGGGTATAGATACCATTGCTTCAATTATTGATCTTGAAAAAAACAATTTCATTTCAGTTTTTTTTTTTTTCTTCAAAAGTTCCATTTTTCCTCATTTATCTTTTTCAGGGGGGACAAGTGAAAGAATTTTATGTTACTGAGGCCCGAGAAATCTGACAGCCTGTCCCGCAGGTGGAGGTTGTCACAGAATCCATTAGGTTGGAAAAGACCTCTGAGATCATCAAATCCGGTGTATGACTGAACACCACCGTGTCAACTAAATTATAGTATCAAGTGCCATCTCCAGTCTTTCCTTAAGCACCTCCAGAGACGGCGACTCCCTCCACCACCTCCCCTGGACTGCTCAGTCCCATGTCTAAACACCCTTTCTATGAAGGAATTCCTTCTGATGTCCAACCCAAACCTCCCCTGGCATAGCTTAAGACTTATCCTCTCGTCCTGTCACTGCTTATCTGAGGGGAAAAGCCACCCTCTACCTGGCTCCAACCTCCTTTCAGGGACTTGTAGAGAACACTAAGGTCCCTCCTGAGCCTCCTTTTCTCCAGGCTAAACAACTCCCGCTCCCTCAGCCACTCCTCACAGGACTTGTGCTCCAGACCCTTCTCCAGCTTTGTTGCCCTTCTCTGGACACGCTGCAGCACCGCAATGTCCTGTCGGGCGCCCCTGGCCCGCCTGCCGTGTGAGCACAGCCCAGGCGGGCAGGGCCGGCCCGGCGCGCCGCTCCCCCGGCAGAGCGCACCCGGGGCGAGGCGGGTGGGCGGCGGGGGCCGGCCTGCCCGGCAGCGAAATCCGCCCGCGGCGCCCGACGAAGGCAGCGCGGCCCCAGCGCCCCGCGCCTGGCGGAGCCGCGGCCGGAGGGAATCCAGTCCGGGTTTTGGCGCCGGGGACCGGCGGCGGCGAGGAAGGGCGAGCGGGAGGGGACCGCGCGCTGCGCCCGACAGCCGGGCCGGGCGGCGGGAGGCGGCCGGGCCGGGCCGGCCGGGCGGAGGCACCATGCAGGCGCGGCGCTTGGCCAAGCGCTCCAGCATGGGCAGCCGGCGGCTGAGCGCGGCGGCGCCGCAGGTGGACGCGGTCCGGCCCCCCAAGCCCGAGAGCGCCTGGAGGCCGCCCCGGCGGGAGGGCTCCGCTGCGGCGCTGGAGGAAGAGGACGAAGAAGAGGACGTGGTGGTTGAGGTGGAGGAGGAAGAGGAGGAGGAGGAGGGCGGCCTGGGGAGCGCCCCCCCGGCGCTGGCCGGCCACGGCAAGGGCCCCCTCCGGGGGAGCCTTAAGGTGCGTCCCAGGAGGGAGCGGGGCGGGGGCGGTTGAGGGGCCCGGGCCGGGGTGCGGGGCCGGCGAGCCGGGCCGGGCCGGGCCGGCGAGCGCTGGGGGCGGCCTGGGGCTGGCGGCGGGGCTGGGAGCGGGCTGGCACCGGGAGGCTGCGGGGGACTCCGACGCCGGGCGGGCCGGCCGGCCCTCCGCGAGTCCCAGGCGAAGCGGGAGGCGGGGGCGGCTGGCTAAAAGCGGGCGGGGGGCGTGGGGAGCCAGCGGGGTCTGGAGGAGTTTGAGCGTCGGGAGTGGAGACTTGGCTGGGTGAAGCGCGCGGCTGGCGGGGTTGGAGGGATGTTCAGCCCGGCCGAGCGCGCAGAGCTGTTCGGAGAGCTGTGCCCGCGGGGCGTGCGAGCTGCCGGGGCCGGACAGGGCTCCTGCGAGCGCGGGTGGCCGTGGTCAGGAGGCCTGGGTGGGCAACCTGTGGAAAGTTTAGGAATGCAGCCCTTCTGTGCAGAGGCCCGATTCAAATCCCATCGAAGCGTGCGCGGGCAGTGCGCTGAAATCGGTGTGGTTTGGAACAACCTGATGAACACACCCACTGGCTGAGATCCTGCAGATTTAGGCTTAATGATATTATTATGAAGCGTTTTCTGTAATTATTTTTCTCTTGGCATAACCAGGGTAGTAAGATTAAATCTATGTATACTAGTATAGAGGATTTGTGTGGTAGATGTGCACTGGTTATGGAAAATAAGTGTGTATGAAAGTTTAAAGGGTACCCATTTGAGTTGATTTTTATTTTTTCCAATCTAGGTAATAATTCTTACTTAATAAGAGTTCAGGACTGGATAGTTAGGAGCGCTATATTACCACTGGGATCTTTCCTGTATCCACAGATGTGGGGAAAAAGAAGGAAACAAATCCTAAACAAACAGTACAGAAAGGAAAATGGCAGCAGAAATGCAGTTATCCACATATTACTTCAGAGCAGTTTTGTTACAGCACTGAGAGAATCATACTGACACAGCTGGGTCATCAGACTGTAGCTTGTCACTGAGTCTATCAAATGCCATGAATTGGTTATGGTGTCTGGGTCAGGCCATCCATGGTACTGAGGCCTGACAGGCTGAAACAACTTTTTTGCAACGGAACCAGCACTTGACACTTGAATGATAGCCTTAGGATGAAGAGCACCATATTGGGCTTCTGGTCCCATCATTCTCCCCTTAGTAATGAAGGTCTTAAGTGGTAGAGGAGGCTTAGAGGAACTTCCTGGGTGTACCTAATAGGAAAAAAGAGTGAAATTCTCAAGTGGAGCACAATGAACTGAAATATAACTGGATTATATAGGTATAATCTGCATGTAACATGTGAGTGTACTGTCCTCTTTGTCAACCCTCAACATGCTTTCAAGCAGTAGGACTGGTAGAGGTTGCTGGTATTTCTGCATTACACCTAGGAGTATGCATACATACAAAAATATTGTGCTTGCATGTATTTACTTCCTTGAATAGTAAACCTCCCTCATAGGTGAGATTAGTGTAGTATGCCTGTTAGGTTACATTTAGTGTACATAATAAACTATCAAGTCACCGTTGATAACCAGGTGCACATATTTACCCTCCTTGCAGGAATGTTTCTAACTGTCATTACCTGCTCGGTTTCTGCTTTCTCTGTTTATACTTTTGAGTATTATAAACTGGGAGGGCTTAAAATTTAACACTGTAAATAAGTTACCTTTGGTTTCTGTGTATTTCTTTAGAGATTGTGAGTGTGGGAGTTCTCAAAGCTTAATGGGAGGGTTCTTCCAAGTAATTTTAAAGTAACAGATTAAACTTCTCTGCCTTTGGCATTGTGTTTCTGAGTGCTTTTAAGCCTGAAATGACTGAACTGCAAAGGTGTTTCCCAAAAATAGCTCTGGCTATATGGCCCTGAGTGTCTCGGAAGGTGGGTTTTCCAAGCAGGTTGTGTTTCTGTTAATGAGAGAAGCAGGCATAAAATGGATACTGAGGTCTGACTGCAGAGCATTGGGAGAGTAATAGGACTGGCACAATCTGGTTGTGGTTTGTCAGCTGGAATTCCTTGCAAATGGCAAAGTGGCACGGAGTCAGCAGCATTTGATTTCCAGACACAGACTTCTGAACTGGGGACTGGGAGCAAAGTATATTGAAGAGGTGTTCACTCCTGAGAGACGGCATAAATTGTTGCATTGACCAATACCTTCATGATAAGAGAAATCCTAAAGAGCTTCAGAATTTATTTGGACTTGAAAGCAACATGATCTGGGTTTTGCAGTGTGTGCTGTCTGGATAATGCGGTTAAGAAGCATCACATGGTGTTCAGGTGTGTATTCACATGTACACTTGATGTCTGTGCCCTTGGGTGGAACAGCATTTCAAAGCTAGAGGTTTTGGGGTTTCATGACAAAGTCACTTCTATGGACTGCCTGTGATACATGGATGAAAGCATCATAGGGTCAGCAATGGAATTAATATTGTTAACAGGTGCCTGAGAATTTGGTCCACTAGTCAAAATCAGCAAAGTACTGGCACTATCAAGTCATACAGTCTCTGCTCCAGAAAGAAGTCCACCGTGTGGCTGCACCTTTGGTAGTCTAGTTTTGACCCTCACTCTTAAGCATGGGGATGGAGAGGATGAAGTACCTTATAAAGCTAAATATTATTTCTCCAGTTTCTGAAGTTGTAGAAAAAGAGAACATCTATGGCAAAAAAGAGAGACTGGTGGCATGGGGAAGATACACAAATTGTGTCTGTATGTTGCTGTGTATGTAGCTGTGTAGCTGTCCAGGAGGAGAACACTGGAGAACATTTTTGTTGCTTGTTCTTCCCTGCTATGCTACCTTTCTGGAAGCAGCACAAGTATGCTCTGTGTTGCTGGTGGGTAATGGCAGAATAAGCAGAGAGTCTTGGTGAGCCTGTAAAGCCTTGTTGGGAAGTGCTGTGGTTTTTTACTTTATCAGAACTAGTTCATTAATCTCTATATGGAAACGAATTACACCAAGGTGCTGATTATGCAGACTCATTTTGCACGTGAAACCCTTTTTGTGCAGCCCGTATTTGCTCTGGCTGCATTTGGATTTTCAGCCATTTAAAATGAGATGAAAAAGTATAAATAGTGTAATTGCTAGTACTTTGTCTTGAAGCGTGGGTTAATTTGCAGTCCTGTGTAATTCATCTTTTGTATGCAGCCTAGTTCAGATATCACAGCCACGTTAGTACCATGCTGGGGTTGACGTAGTCTGTGGAAACTGCTGAGTTTGATGATGGGGAAAGAAGTTTTGAAGTAGGATCCACCAGCAGTCTCCAATGCTGACTTTATCGGATACTTAGAAGAAAACCCCACTGCAAGTAGCAGAATTATGCCAATTTGTCTGTAAACCATCAGAGTGTTATGATTGAGAATGTGGGCTAGTAGTGAACATGGGCTTGTGACAACATGCCAGCATGTTGCAATGTTTTCTCTGCTGGTATGAAAAGTAAAGGGGTTGGTGCTTTCTTCTGTTCAGCCCAATTGAGTTCCCAGTTTATTTCCAACCCAGTTTCTGTCCCCAGGCTGAGAGTATGGACACAGGACATTCCTAATGCAGCAGATTATGGAAGCTGCACCTATTCCTCACCCATGGAACTAACTGTTACAGATACTGGCTTGTTTGTGAGCACCTCTTCATAGTTCAGAAGGATGAATTTCCCACAAGTGGATCTGATCCTATAAATACATAGCTCCCCAAATTATGGAAAATGACCATATGAAGAGTCTGAAAACTAAAGGCCCAGAGAGCTGTGCAATGATGGTAGAGGAATACAAATGCCCAAGCAGTATAAACAAGACTTTAACTTCATGTTTACACTTTACCATTGGGCTCAGTTTCACCCACCTTGTGAAGTGAAATTTATGACAGGTGCAAAGTAAGGAGCATGTACAAGTCTGATCCAGAGGTTTCAGAGTGGAGATGGCACACATTGGTAGGAGTTAATGAAAAATTATACTTTTGGACACAGCTTTTATGGTTTGTTGTGTTTTGGGTTGATTTTTTCACCTTTTTTTTTTTTAAAGAAAAATATATCTGTGTTATATATGGGATGCAGAAGAATCTTTAGAGCTTGTGTGGAAGAAATCAGTTGCCTTTTAGTTATGTGTTGTTCAGCTGTGTTAAATTCACTCTGTTCTCTTTTGCTCTTTCTTTCTAAAGCCTGGTGTGAATTCATTGCTGTCCTTTAAATTAGACTTTCAGCTTTGCTGTTTCAATGGGCTATATACTCATTGTGGACAAAAAAAAGTGGGTTTTCCTGCTTGATTAGCAAATGTTATTTAATTTAGCTTTCATGTGTATGTGTAAATGTATTTTCAGAGGCAATTTGCAAAATACAAGCTTCAAATACCAGATTTGCTTAGTGGAGTAGAGACCTTGCAAGACATATTAGGAACTTAAGAGGAAAATAAAATGTTCCCTTTCAGACTAATAATGATAATGTTATTTTTATGAATACTGCTAGTTATTAGAACACCAGAACTCATGTCCTGAACTTGGAGCCTGTTAGGCTAGGCTGTGTACAAACTCAGAACAAGCATGATCCTGGTCTGTCCAATTTTACAAAGAGCAACATGAGATATGAATGGACACTTATGGACTGTGAGGAACAATTAAAGGGTGAGATGAGAGAGGCAGATAAACACCAGCAGCTTGGCCATATTTTTGTAAGTAAATAAAGTTAATTAATTTTTAAATTTCAAACTTTGTTTGGTTTCTTGTTCTTCTGTGAAGAACTGTCTAGTGAAGTTGATGTGGAAAATTCATGGCTAGGCTTGGGATTTTTTTTTCTTTTCTTACTTATGACAAATTTTTGAAGTTTATACATAATACAGATTACTGGAGGCAGACCTGGGGGTGGTGAGAAAATAAGATAGTATTTTTTTCTCCACTCTCCCCTGATAAAGAATGAAAGGGACTAATTTGCTGGGGATGTTTTCATGTAATTTTGTTGCTGTTTGGACACAGACCG